TTTCAAAAATTTTTGAAAGCCTTGGCAGCAATCCAGCCTGCCAAGCTCACAATACTGTTCTCCAACGTTAGTTAATGCGTTGACTTCTGCAAAAGGGGCGTGTGCACAAGCAGTCCTTTTATAGTCTGGAGAGGAGCCTAATGACCACCAGCTGAGTGCAATTATCTCCTGTAACTGTGTAATTGTTCCTTACGCCTATTAGCTCTCCGATGCTGGGCATCTAGGAACAACTCCCTTGGTTCCTCCTCACTGCTGATGTCCTGATCACTCTCCCTTGTCTCCTCCCCACTGGTCCAAGGCTCAGGCGCCTCCTGGTGGCCAACCAGTCTCCCTGCGCCCTGCTTGCTGTTGGAACCCTGTCCAGGGCCCTCCACATCCTCCAAAGCCGACTCATAGGGCCCCTCGCTGTCGGAGTCTGGTGGCAGCTCCAACGGCTCCTGCTGGGCCACAACACTCACCCTACCTTATTTTAAAACAGGCACCGTGGTTGGGTGTGTACAACCTGTTGTGACTTGATGGCTGTGTTCCAATAGCAGAGAATATTTGTAGCTGAGGGTTAAACTGTGGGGGGGTCCTTGGTGCTCTCTGAGCCTGGTAGTTTTCTTGCAGATGTCCCATGACCCAACTAGGGAACAGCATCAGTGCTGGAAGGGAGGGGGTTTGTAATGATGGAAGAGGAGGAGGAGGATGCGATGGAGGAGAAGGAAAGAGAAGAGGTGGAGGAGGAGGAGGACTGTGGGGGGTCCCTGGTGCTCTCTGGGCTTCGTGGTTTTCTCGCAGACATCTCATGACCCAGCTAGGTAACCTCATCCGTGCTAGAAGGGAGAGGGGTTAGCTCTGTTTATATATGAGTGGATTGCCCCAGGGTTGGTGGGAACGTTGTGATTTCCACAAACATTGATGGGGCAAACCACTTGTATCTAAACTAAGTGTCCATCCCACTGTCTTGGGGCTGTGATGGCGTTACCTAGTTGGGTCATGAAATGCCTGCAAGAGAACTACAAAGCTCGGACAGCACCAAGGACCCCATAATCCTCCTCCTCCTCCTCCTCCTCCTCCTCCTCCTCCTCCCTTCTGACACTGATGATGTTATGTGGTGATTGGCCCAAAGTCACCCAGCCTGCTTTCATGCCTAAGGCAGAACTAGAACTCACCGCCTCCTGGTGATTGGCCCAAAGTCACCCAGCTGGCTTTCATGCCTAAGGAAGAACTAGAACTCACCGTCTCCTGGTGATTGGCCCAAAGTCCCCCAGCCGGCTTTCATGCCTAGGGCAGAACTAGAACTCACCGCCTCCTGCTAGCACACCTGGAAGGCGCAGGATGGCCTAAAACCACTCTCCCCTGACTCTGTGTGCTTTTCCCAACCAGGCCACCTTCTTAGCCGACTGGAGGAATTCGAACCGTTACCCCGCCGTCATCCTCTTCTACGTCAACGCCTGCTTCTTCATGGGCAGCATCGGCTGGCTGGCCCAGTTCATGGACGGCGCCCGCAGCGAGATCGTCTGCCGGGCGGACGGCACCATGCGCTTGGGAGAGCCCACGTAGGTTCAGGGGTGGTGGGGCTTGCCCGGGGAACTCCTTGCCACTGAGCTGGACCCACGAAACACGACAGAGATCCTCTCCCCCCGATATACTGGTCTCTTTGGAGATAATCATGGTTTGTCTTCAAGGTGCTTTTTGAAAAGACATCTGGGCTTGTTTTTCTTTGAAGAGGTTTCGCTTCACATCCAAGAAGCTTCTTCAGTTCTGGCTGAATGGTGGAGAATGGAAGGACTTCGATTCCTTGTAGTCATTCACTGAGAACCGAGGAAGCTTCTTGAAAAAGCACCTTTGAGACCCCCCCCCCCCCAAAACATTCCAATTCTCAGTCACCCCATTCGTTGTGGCCCAGGCTTATGGGAACTGGTGTCCAACCACAATTGGACTACAGATGTTTACTCCTCCCCTTCTCTGTGGACTGGCTGGAGTGTTGAATTCTGGGAGTCGAAGTCCAGGCATCTTAAAAGTGGCCAAGGTTGAGTAACCCTGATTTAGAGTACCAAGAATGGTTCTTGGGAAGGGACAGAAGAGTGTTTCACTCACTTCTGAAGGCATCTGGAGAACTTTTGAAGGGATCTAGAGCAGGTTGGCATTCCTTGCACAAAAGCTATAGTTCATTGGCTTCCTCTCTGTCTCTCTCCTCTTTCTCTCCCTGTCTGTCTCTCTCTCTCTAACTCTGTCTCTTTCTGTCTATCTCTGTTTCTCTGTTTCTTACTTTTCTCTCTCTGTCTCTCTCTCGCTCTCTCTCTCTCTGCGCCTCTCTCCCTTCTCTATCTCTGTCTCTCTTCCTTCTCTCTCTAACTGTCTATCTCTCTTCCTTCTCTCTCTCTTTGTCACTCTCTAACTCTGTCTCCCACTGTATCTCTGTCTCTCTTCCTTCTCTCCTCTCTCTCTCTCGCTAACTCTCTGTCTATCTCTCTCTTTCTTCCTTCTCTCTCTGTCTTCCTTCTCTTCTCTCTCTCCTTGTCTCTCTCGCTAACTCTTTCTATCTGTTTCTTCCTTCTCTTCTCTCTCTCTCCTCTCTTCCTTCTCTTCTCTCTCTCCTTGTCTCTCTCTCGCTAACTCTCTTTCTATCTCTTCTTTCTCTTTTCTCTCTCTCTTTGTCTTTCTCTCTAACTCTGTCTCCCTCTGTATCTCTCTGTCTCTCTTCCTTCTCTTCTCTCTCTCCCTGTCTCTCTCTCTCGCTAACTCTCTGTCTATCTCTGTTCCATCTCTCTCTCTCTCTTTCTTCTCTTCTCTCTCTCCCTCTCTCTCTCTCTCTAACTCTCTGCCTCTCTTCCTTCTCTTCTCTCTTTCTTTCTGTCTCTGTCTCTCTCCTCCTTCTCCCATCTCTCTCTCTCTCTCTCTCTGACCACAGCTCCAACGAGACCCTTTCCTGCGTGATCATCTTTGTGATTGTCTACTATTCCCTCATGTCCGGGGTGATCTGGTTCGTCATGCTGACGTACGCCTGGCACACCTCCTTTAAGGCGCTGGGCACCACCTACCAGCCACTGGCGGGCAAGACCTCCTACTTCCACCTGGTGACATGGTCCATCCCCTTTGTCCTCACGGTGGCCATCTTGGCAGTGGCACAGGTAACGGGGCTGGAGGAGCTCAGAGGAGCTTGGGGGGGAGAGCGGGGTCTTCTCGGTGGCGGCACCTTGATTCTAGAATTCTTCCCACAGGAGCTATGGTTGACCCTCAGTTTCCCTCGAGTGGTGTGGTGGCCTAGAGCAGGGGTTGGCGATGTGCAGCTCCAGAGCCACATGCGACTCTTTCGTCCTTCTCCTGCGGCTCCCTATTGGATGGTCCCACCACTGGCTGGCCCTGCCCCTCTCCCTCCCCTCCCACTCACTCCTCGCCTGCCCTGAGAAGAGAAGGGCGATGGTGGCAGATGTAGACTCGCTCCGTATTCCAGAGCGGGAGTAGCCCCTCTACTTGCCTCTTGTTCTGCCCCTTGTTGGTGCTGTGTGCACCTCAGCCACTGGGAGAGACAGGCGGCTTTTCTCCGCCACGAGACACCGGACGGGCCGGCTGCAGCCGGTGCTCTGTGTCGTAATGGGCTCCAGGGGGAGGAGGAGGGGACGTTGTCTCCCTCATTGTGAAGTGCGCTAGGTTTGTGCGCTGCACGAGGTGCTGCAAGAGCAGCAAGCAGCCACAGAGGCAGTGGGAACAGCGGCATCAACCGCAGCTGGCCCAGCGTGTGTTTTGGGGCAGAGAGAAAGCCGCGCGTCTCCCCATATTCCTCTCGCTGCCTCCACGATTTCAGAGACACGCCTGTTTAAAAAAAAAAACCCAGGAGCCACAGAACCTGGGTAGGCTTGGTTACCGGGGGTGTGTGTGAGTGATGTCGAGTTGGCCACGCCCACCCAGGTTTTGTGGCTCCCGGTTTTTTTTCTTTTCTTTGGGAAGCAGCTCCAAATGGCTTTTTGAGTTTTTAAGGTTGCCGATCCCTGGCCTAGAGGTGAAGCTCTCACCTCATACTCAGGAGGCTGTGAGTTCAATCCCTAGTAGAGGCAGATATTTCTCTCTGAGCATGATGAGAATGTATCTGCCGAACAAAACCCCGCATTGGCGACAGGGAAAGGCATCCGGCCATTAAAACAATCTGCTAGCTCCATTCAGTTGCCAGACTCCATCCCGCGAGGGATTATGAGGTCGTTAAAGGAGGATGATGATGATGATACAAGTAGTCCTCAACTTACGACAATTCATTTAGTGACTGTTTGAAGTTACAGCGCCACTGGAAAAAAGTGACGACTCTTTTTCACACTGACGACCATGGTCATGTGATCATAATTCAGACGCTTGGGAACTGACTCGTACTTATGACGGTCACAATGCCCCAAGGTCACGTGATCCCCTTTTGCGACCTCCTGGCAAGCAAAGTCCGTGGGGAAGCCTCGATTTCATTTAACAACCGGGTTAACTCATTAACCCCCAAAGCGATTCACTTAACAACCGTGGTGAGAAAAGTTGCAGAATTATGGCAAGATTCACTCAAACAACGTTTCCCTTAACCACAGACATTTGGGGGGGGGGGGGCTCCGTTGCCATTGTACGTCGAGGACTCCCTGTGTTTAGGGGAGTTGACGGACGAGAGATGAGAAGTTGATTTGATTGTTGTTCCTCTTCTTTTCTAACCCTTCCAGGTGGACGGAGATTCGGTGAGCGGCATCTGTTTTGTGGGGTACAAGAACTACCACTATCGCGCGGGGTTCGTCCTGGCCCCCATCGGCCTGGTGTTAATTATCGGGGGCTATTTTCTGATCAGAGGTGAGTGTTTCTCCCCCCTCTGGATTCCTTGCCTTGCCTTTTCGTCACTCAAGAGATGGATGGATGGATGGATTAACAAGGCATTCTGGAAGTACCGTATTTTTCAGAGTATAAGACGCTCCGAAGTATAAGAGGCACCTAGCTTTTGGGGAAGAGAAAAAAATCTCCCTCTGCCTCCTAGCAATCTGCCTCCTTGCAGCAAACAGCAAACAGAACAGACAATATACGCTGTTTGTGGTGTTACATTTCAATCTATACTCGTACAGATGCTGTTAAAATTGAGGTGGCTTTTCTGGAAATATACGTCATTCTCTGCTATTTAAAAGAAGATGCAATAGCCCTGGGCCCCTTCAGATCAAGCACTTGTTTTAAAAAGCTTCTTCATTTTGTTAAGCTGTCTAGAACAATAAAGAGTCTTTAAAAAATAAGTCTAATAATTTGGACATTCTATAGGCATTTATAGTTATTGACTTGCCTCCTTGCAGCAAACGGCAAACAGCCTGATTAGCACAAGAAAAACAAAATCTGCCTCTGCCTCCCAGCAATTTACCTCCATATAGCAAACAGCAAGTTTCACTTTCAGTTTAAGCGGGCCTCCAGATCATCAGCTGTTTCAGGCTGCAGGGATTGCTAGTATAAC